TATGTCTGCTGAGGTTTGCTAACAGAATCCTACCTGCACTGGGGTGCAAGGGAAGAGAATTCTCACATATGCACTATGTTCAAAGGTCCTTACATGGGGAAGCAGGAACAGCACAGACCCTCTAAGCATCCCTATTTTCCAGGGGCAGTCCCAGATTTGCAGAAGCTGTCCTGGTTTCTGATTTGAATCTTGAATGTGCTGCATTTCCTTAAGGTAAAGGTAAAGGTACCCCTGCCCGTACGGGCCAGTCTTGACAGACTCTAGGGGTTGTGCGCCCATCTCACTCAAGAGGCCAGGGGCCAGCGCTGTCCGGAAGACACTTCTGGGTCACATGGCCAGCGTGACATCGCTGCTCTGGTGAGCCAGAGCCGCGCACGGAAACGCCGTTTACCTTCCCGCTAGTAAGCGGTCCCTATTTATCTACTTGCACCCGGGAGTGCTTTCGAACTGCTAGGTTGGCAGGCGCTGGCACCAAGCAACGGGAGCGTACCCCGCCGCGGGGATTCGAACCACCGACCTTTCGATCGGCAAGCCCTAGGCGCTGAGGCTTTTACCCACAGCGCCACCCGCGTCCCTTTGCATTTCCTTAGGCTGTCCCTATTTTCATTGGAGAAATGTTGGAGGGTATGGCAGTGAAATGCCATTTGTATAACTTTTCTGTTGCCTCTGGATAGCTTTGCTTCTGCTGTCCTACCAGTAACAACTATGCTGTAGGGTTTACATAGCTAAACAATACATCACCTGTGGTATTCAATAAAATCAGTGACATTTGGACATCGAAATAAGACCTTAGCCCCTAATCCAGCCAACACTTTGAGTTAATTTTGCTGTTGTGGTAGAGCATTCATATTCACACTCAACAACGGCATAACTCTTTGAGCAGACTATTCTTCCAGCAGAAAGGCTATACAATAGTTATTTATATGTTAATGTGTATAGCACTTTTGGGACTTATGGATTAACTATAAACATGTGGTTTTATTAAAGCAACTATCATGGTATAAAGTTACTACATTAATCCACATTGGCAGGGAGTGCAAAGGTTGTGGTAGGAGCTGCATTCTAGCAAAGCAAGAAGTGGAATTCATGACTGTGCTATGCTGCTAATTTTCAGCAGCACAGAAGAATCTGCTCAGTAAAATGGAAAGCCTGTGATTGTGCTGTGGGCAATTTATCAGGGAGCAGCTACAATTCTCATTTGTTAATATTGTATGCTTTACAGCCCCACAGTAATCATATTGCAGAACTTCAGCATTTTCCAGTCTCTTCAAATTTTAATTTATTATGGAAGTTTAATCAGTTAGCTTGGTGCAGTGATTTCACAGAGGAACTGGGTGAAAAAGGTCATACGAGATACTTTCAGATCTTGTGACATTTTCTCAGGCTATATGGGAACCCACAGAAGTGGAGATAGAACCACCTTATATGACTGAAGACCAGGATCATTCATGGGGTGCATATTCTTCCCACACAAGGAACTGAGATTAGCAAAAAATTGTCTTGGAATGCATTGTAGGATTGCAACTAGGACTGATCAACTGCAGGCTAATTGAAATGTACATCTTCAATCCCTTTGCTGATGATCCATGAATGAGAATCATAGGTCATGTTAAAACAACCATTTTTGAGAAAAGGCCAGGTGCTATCTGCATTTGGTGCCCTGTTTTCTGACTATATCTCTTGTTTTCTTTTACTTCAATTGTTTCCCTCTAATAGCAAACTCGGCTTCGTGTTTGTGTGTGTGTCTGTGTGTGTGTAAACAGGGAACTTAAGGGTTCGAAACAATGGCAAAACCAGCACAATGAGAATTGGGCATGCTTAGTAGCCACCGAATATTGAGTGGCAGGTCACATCCACACCAGATATTTAAAGCACTGTAATATCACTCTAACAGTCATGGCTTCCCCCAAGGAATCCTGGGAACTGTGGTTTCCTAAGGATGCTGACCTCACAGAACTACAGTTCCCAGCACCCTTAAACTACATGTCCCAGGGTTCTCCATAAGTGTTAAAGTGATATCCGAATGCTTTAAATGTATAGAGTGGATGTGACCTCAGATGGGGAGGGGCAGAGAAGAAACTGGAGGAGGGAGTGGAATGCCCTGCTTCATCCCCTTATCGCTTATGGGATCCAAGCAGAGGCTGCAGCTTACCAGGCTCTTACCAAGAGCCAGTGGTGTAGCGTGGGTTGCCAGCACCTGGGGCTGCATGGAGGGGGGAGTACACATGTGCATTCAACTGCCCCTAATGACATCCAAGTCACCCAGGAGGTTACAGTCACAGAGATAAAAAAAGAAGAAGAGTCGTTCTGTTGTCTTGAGAGGTCACTCAATACAGCACTGTACTGAGGCAGCACTGGGTTTTGAAATTTTGCACCCCTAACAACCAGCCGTATGGACCTCCACCCACTGCTATGTCACTGCCTAGAGCACATGTTTCAGGAGAGATTTTACACTGCAGATTCCACCTGCTTTAAAAAAATCCTTAATTTCTTACTTGATTCAACATTGAAAATCTTGCAAGGATAATTTTCCTTTAACGTTTTGCACTTGGGTGTGGATAGCCACATACATGACAAGACTGGCACATGGAAAATTTCCATTTGATTGGAAATGTGCAGAACTTGGCATGTGCAACAGCTGTCATTAAATAATTTCCACACACATGCAGTTTGATCAGCATATATCAGGCTACCACTAATAATAAAATTGCATTTTCTCTATCCATCTAAGCGGCCCAGGAATGCCAGTTGGCATTGAGAGTACAGGGTTTATTTATTTAATTATTATACAACTAAATAAAACAAAGCTGTTCAAAGTAGACTGTATGAGTTACAGAAGAAATGTAGGTTGGGTCACCCACCTTAAAACCTGCTGAAGCAATTGTATGTCCATTTTTATGGCACACACTTAGCCATTGAACTACATTCTCAGTGCAAATTGGATGTGAATTTGTAAAATCAGGAAGGATCTTTTTTTTTTAAAAAAAAGGGGGAAGCAGAGTAATTGAAGAACCGTGTGACAATTCTGAAATTGTCCCTAATTTGACAGGGAACGTCAAATTTTATATCATTAACATTAACCATTCAAGACAGGCATAAATCAACTCAGAATATATGTTTTTACTGGCATGCTCCCAGTATTTCCAGTCTGTCACTTTAATATTAATAACACTTTCTAACTGGCTGCATGTCTTCTGTGGAAAACATTATTTCATTTTAATTAAGAGGTCAAGGATTATAGCGCTTAATTACTAAAGAAACATTATACAAAATGTATTTCTCTGGAGGCGTTAAAAGGTTAGTGTTGTGTAAATGCCAACTGAAGTAGAAGCCAACCTCCTGGGTTCTGATATTGTAAAGTTCATCTGTCTTTTACAAAATCTACACACAATATTTAGATATCAGCCTGAAGATACAGAGCTGTGCTTTAGGAAACCTAGGCCAATACAGTATAAATTCCACCAGCTCCCATTAGATGACATCAAAAATTAATTCCAAAGGAACACCCACATTAGGGTCTGTCACAAAATTATCTTGAGCAGTTATCTTTTCTGCTCAAAGTCCATACCAACTGAAGGGTTAACACTCTGGTATAGGAGCTAAGACACTGGGACCTGCTTGCTGGATACCCCACACACAACCTACAAAAAGAAAAAGAAAATATTTTCGGGAAGACCAGCATCTTAACTAAGCACCAAAGACCAGCAAGGATGTAGCTAGCAGAGAGCTTTTTCACAGTGTGGGTGCCACAGTGTTGGGTGTCCACCATAGACAATGCTCTTCTCTCATAGATGGGACATGGAGGACCATCTTTTCCATGTATCTGAGACAGAAGAAGGTGGTACCCATGAAGAAGGTGTACCTTAAGGTTCACATGGCCCAGACTATGTAGGGCCTTAAATCTCATCACCAGCACTTCAACTGTGCTCACAGTAATAAGATGCTGAAAGACATGTTTGGCCATTGTTGTTGGGAACAGGGCCCAATCATCACTTTTGGGGGACGGGGAGCAAACTTACAACATGGCCACCCTCCCACACACATTCTGCAACCCCATCCCATAATACACTCATGATTCATAAAAGTTTCTATTTCTGTTCTGAAATTAGGTTTTCTACATTTCTGAAATGAAATCGCACATTGAGTCCAACGGAGCTTATTCCTGTATGTATGGGATTATAGTTTAAGTAATACTGCTACCTATTGACATCAGGCAGGTGCCTTCATTGTACGTATTCATTCTGGTACCTGCTGAAACATTTTTGTTTAGGAAAGGCAATCCAAAACCCGTGTTTTAATCTGGTTTTCAGTTTATCTTTAATTTCATTTTTTAAATGTTTTAAATAACTGTTCTAACTTTTTATTTTACTGAGAATTTTATTTTATTTTTGTTTATTTTGTTTTTGTTTTATGTTTTTTGGGTTTTTTTTTAATAAGCTTGTTGAGGTTTTATTTCAATTAAGTGGTTATATAATTTTCGTGAAATAAATAAAACACCGATTTAAGTATGAACATACAACCCTCATAGCACTGCCCTGTGAGGGACACTTCCCCAGATGTTTCCCTGACGCAGCGTATTCTTATTTTATGCCACGGTGCCTGAGGGCGCGAAAGAGAGATGGGAGAACCTGTGGCTCTCCAAGTGTGGTGACCACTGGCCATGCAGGCTGATACTGGGGGGAGCCGGACTCCAGCCACATCTGGATGGCCGCTTCACTTGCAAGCTCCCTATCTAACACTCCGCGCTCCTTCCTCGCTGACCGCGATCCTGCCTCTGATTGGCCGTCCAATTTCGCTTCACCCCTTTGACGAACCTTGGACAAATCCGCGCTTGGATCGCGTGCGAGGCGCTGCCCTCTTTTTCTTTCTTTCTCTCCCCCCCGCCCCCCCGCAAGAGCCAAGCTCTGCGCTCCTTTCCCCGGAGGAGCCGAGGGCGCCTGCGAGGGAGTCACCTGCCCCCGAAGCTCCTCCCCTTTCCCCAGCCCGGTCCCGCCCTAGCCTTAGCCGGGCAAAGGAAGAGGCGAGGCGCCCCTGTGTGCGTGCGTGTGTGTGGCACGCGCCGGGCGCCGGCCGTCAAGTGCCGCGCGCTCCAGCTGGCTGGCGAAGCGCGAGGGCAGCAGCCGGCACGCTCTTCCCCTCCCGCTGAGCGCCAAGGCGGGAGAATGCGAGAGTCATGAATCCATTAATGAACTCCGCGCGCGTCGGAGTTCCAGCGGGGACCACGCTCGCGTTTCCTCCGAGCCTTTCGCTTTCTCGCTCTCTCTCTCTCTTCTGTCCCCCCCCCCTTTTCCCCCAACCCCAGCACCCGCCGCTTTCTGTGGTTCTGGTCACTGGGACTGATTAATGAATCATGAGGTGGCTGCTGTTAATGCATTTATCTGGGACAGACTGTACCGCAGCCTTCAGCCTTCACACGGCGGGGTGAAGCGAGCGCGCGAGAGAGCGAGGCTCCCGCTTTCTCGGCGGGCTCCGACACCTGCAGCCGACCCCGCTGCTCTCCTCGCCCGCCTTCCTGCCCGTCTCCCGCCGTGGAGACAGAGGAGCTGAAGAACCGCCGCTCTCCATGGCTCCTGAGGAGGTAAGAACGTCAAGGGTCTTTCTTTTTGGGGGTCTCTTCCCCATTCGCCCCCCCCCCAAGGAAGCCAGTTTTCTCTTCCAGGGAAGGAAGAACCTGGAATTTCGAGGGGAAGCCACGGAAGGGGTGCTTGGCATGGGGGGCGTCGTCGACGCCAACTGCTTCCCTCAGGGTTTGGCTGCCTCTAGTCACGGGGAGGGAGAGGAGTCCACGTGTAAATGGGTCGCGCGGGTGTGTGAAAACGATGTCCGCCCTCCCCCCCCCCAAAAAATAAAAAATCCCTCCGCGGAGCCGTGAGAACCCGCCTTTGCCTGGCGCAGGTTGAGTTTCGACTTCTCTCCGCTGGTGCTGCCAGGGGACAAAAATACCTTGTCCCTTTGAAATGGGGATGGGGAAACCCAGGGCAAACTTGCGGGTCATTGGGCGATGGCATCGGGGTGGGTGGGGGGCTATGAAGTACTAAACGCAGCTGAGGCGCTCTGACTTCCTGTTCCCTTCCTTACACAAGAGTAACGAAGGCTTGCCAATGAATTTACATACTGGGAATTGGCTTGGAAGGAAGAGGGAAATGCCAGTTCATCTCTCCATCCCATAAGAATGACACCCTCCAGAATCATAGTGAATACATTTTATTTTTGGCGTGATGCTTTAGCCCCCTCTCCCGCCCTGCAGATCTCCAGAGAACTGTGTTAAAATTCCTACTTTGGGGGGGGGGGGAAGAGTGGTGCCGTTTGAAGTGGTGTCAATTGCAGGCTAACTAATTTAGTTTGCAGTAAGATGCAGTCATTTGTTGCAAGCCTGGAGTGTGAGAGAGTTGTCTTTTCTAATCTAAGCACAGATAATTTACTTCACTTGCTTAATTTATAAGAGGTCAACTGCCCCAGGGTTCATACCTGCCTAGTAGTTGTGCATCCTGATCCAGTAGCTTAACTGCTTCCTTCCAGATGTGTTTTGGATGGTGCTGCTGGTTCTGCAGCATGGGAAAGGAACTCTGCGTGTGCTCAGATGTGTGCTATGCTTAGTGCTTCATGCGTTCCATGACTGAGCCCCCAGCACTGAAAATAGTTTCTCTATTTGAGCTCTTCATTGAGCACTGATTCACATGCATTAGTCAATGTAAAATGGGCTGCTACTTCTTTTTTTAAAAGTGAAATCTGTGTCAGACTTAAGCTATAGCATGATTGTCATTAAATAGGCGATGTGTTGAATTTCAATTGGTTCTTTAAAAGGTAATCATGTACATTCAAGCGCTCTATTCAGTATAATGGGTAAGAACTTGTAGACACTCCTAGAAGTGCTGTCTTGTAAAGCTGCCATATATTGTTCAATATCATCCTATCCATTTAATAGGTCACACTCCTTGTGTGTGTGTGTGTTTTTATCATGCATTCTTAGTTCAGTTTGTGATTAAACTAAAATGAATGAATTTGGCAGTGCCTTTTGCTTATGGTTAAACTGTGGGTTCTTTTGGTGGTCTGACTTTTTGACCTGGCCATTCCCTTAAAATCTGTTTTACAAAGCCCATTGTATGGGGAAGGGATGGAATGTACCGTAATTGAACATCAGCAAAACTTGCATTTGTTGTATGTAATGGCATATTTTACAGAGAAATCTGCAAAGCATCTGTTAAAAGCAATGGCACAAAACCTGTCTAAAATGAGCAATGTCAGTTCAAGTTTGTTTGTGCAGCTTTGCAATATCCAGTATTTATGCGGACACCTGAGAGAAGAGACTCTGAAAGTTCTTCCCTAGTGTTACAAAATCAGCCTTTATCTTGGAGCCAAATATGACAGCCAGTTCCTTGGTGTGACAGCAAAACCCATCCTGTCACCTTAAGAAGAAAAACTTATTTAACATGATCCATCTGATATGTCACCTTTGGTTGTGGCCATTTCTAATTCTTGAAAGGGAACCATGAAAGATGAACATAAATAACTGAACATGTCAGACAGTGTAATTCTTCCTAATTTCAAGAGGCTAGCTGCTAAATTATGAGCACCATGCGTAACTACCTTCCTGAGAGTAAATTCATTTGCTCCAGTGGACTTTATTGCTTGGTAAATGTGGTTAGGATCAAGTTACAGAATCTATTGTACGGTGCTAAACCTCCTTTCAGTTTGTGTCTGTTTAGATAGACAGCTCCCAGCTGTTTACAGCTGTACTTCACCAAGAGGCAAAATTACAAATAGTTTCCCCAAAGGACATTTTCAGGTTGCTCTTGATGCATTAAATATGCCACTATTACCTATTCATTGTAGACAATCCAGAATCTCCTTTCAATGTTTGCAGAGACAACACATTTCCCCATTGGTGGATATGATGTGCTTTATAGCTGGGGAAATGCAGTTCTTCCTCCACCTTGCAAATGCATTGCTTGTGGCATCTGTTAGCTGTGGTCTATGTTGCCATAAACGATGGCTGCACACAACTTTCCCCTTCATGTGCCTGTATCGTTTTGTGAACTCCAATTTTTCAGTCTTAAAAATGACTCCAATGACTATGAACTGGTATGCTACTAAAGAACGTTTGAAGAGCCCTACTGGACCGGAACAAAGGCCCATCTAACCCAGCATCCTGTGCTCACAGTGACCAACCAGATGCCTATGGGAAGACCCAAAGCAGGACATGAGCACAGTGGCATTCTCCTGTACTTTATTTCCAGTGGTTGGTATTCAGTGGCATACTTTGGTTTTGGAATGCTCATCCAGTGGTGCTTTGAAAGGGTAAACTGCTGTATTTCTGCTAACTGCCCCCGTTGTTTCTATTTTAACTGTAAGCCACCTTATGTCAATTTCAGGGGGAAAGGCTGGATATAAATAAATAACACAATAATTGTTTATGTTACTGTTTTTGGTTTGGATTTTTAATTGTTCGTTTCTGGCTGTCGCTCCCTTGCTTTGCATAGCCAGTGCTGAAGTCCTTATGGTGTGTGTGTGTGTGTGTGTGTGTGTGTGTGTTTAAAGTTCCAGACAGCATGACAATTTCCCCCTTTCCTTGCAGCAAGGGTGGGTGGTCCCCATTCCAATCCATCATGTGGGAATGAAGTGCTGTGTAAGTTCTGCTAGATAGGGGTTAGTGTTAACGACAGCAAAAATAAAAATGTGATAATCACCTAGTTATACCACTACTGGTATACCAGCTTGACTGTTATTTTACAGCAGGGGTGGGAAATTGGAACTGACCAGAGGACTGGATTCACAGCTGGCCAACCCTCTGTGAGCTACATTGATCAGTGGGTGGGGCTTCCCGTCTGTCAATCACCTGATGTCATGTGGCTGCAGTTCCCAACCTCTGCGGCTACAAAGGAAGATGCTTTACAGTAAGCCTAATAAACAAGTACACAATTCTCCTCTCTTTCCCAGCTTTCAACAGTCAGAGGTTTAGAAATACCTTTAGCACCATTATTAGCCTTGTGCTCCAGGTGCTTTATCCTAGCTCATAATTTTTTAGAAAGTGAAGGAGGTTATTATTTCACATATATTGCCCATGCTGAGATGTGAGTCTCTGGAAGCCCTGCTCACATTTTTCTGTCAAGAAGGGAGACAAATCATGTGACAGTGGGGGGCATCCTGGAACTTTATCACCGAGAGAGGTGTTGTGGCAATGACATGTATGTTGCTACCTTCCTGTGGCTGCAGTGATGGGACCACTCTATGTGGGATTTTTTTAAAAAAAAAATGGGCCAGGGCTTTGTCAATCCAGGAATGTTGGGGTTCTCGTGACCTAGAAGACTGCTTTACCTGTGCACGAGAAAGTTGCTAAACTCAAAACTCTGAATGATACCTGCAAAAGTCTTCCATTCATGCCTGAGGCATGATCTAGACCAGCGGATGGAAGGAACCTGTGACCCTATAGATGTTGCTGAGCTACAACTTCTATCATCCCTGATGATTGGATATGCTAGCTGGAGCTGATGGGAGCTGGAGTTCAGTGATGGAGTTCAGAGGGCCATAGGGTTCCAACCCTTAATCTAGACAAACAGTTAATCGTGTGATAAAACTGGACCAGGGATTTTCTCTTGGGTGCACTTCTTGAAGTTCCCCTTCAATTTGTGGTGTAGCTACTTAGGTTAGTAGCAAAAGGAACCATGTTCAAAATGGTAATCATAAATCCCACTACACATGGTCCCTCAAATCTTAACAGGGTATTTTAAAAAATAAAATCACAAGTGGTGATTTTGTAGAATGTGCCCTTTGTTACTACTAATTTCCCCTATCTAACAGTGGTGCAGTTGAGAGCATTGAAACAACATGGCAGATCACATGGAGTATAACAGATGTGAGGTTTGTGATTTGTTGTAAGCCAGTTATAATGAAAATCTTCCACTTTTGATGTCGCTGTGAGTTTTGCACTTAAAAAAAAAAAGGTCAGGATTTCATATTCACACACAATATAATGAATGTTCTTAAAGAATGAGGCGGACCACCCTACAGACACACAAGTTTCTTCTTGTTTACCTCCACCCATTTCTTTCGTATCTCATAAATGGGTTAGAATACAAACTGCAGTTCTACCTCTCTCTGCTGCCATATTCTAATAACATGATTGTTGGTTTGACTGTTCCCGTTTATTATGGTATTTAAAAGTTATTGGAACCCACTGGAAAAACTGGCCCTGTTTATGCTTGCTTGACTCTCTCTCTCTCTCTCTCTCTCTCTCTCTCTCTCTCTGTTTCTTCCCTTTTGCTGCTCTCCCTGCCCTAATGTCTGGCATGAGAATATACTTGACTCATTTGAGTTTTGTCTTGGTTATATTTGTGAAAGGATCAAAACCCATTAATTTCTTGCCTTTGGGGAAATTTGCTGTGACAGTGTTGGAGAACTTTGTAGCTATTGAGCTTTTCAATAGACTGGAATTTAGTCTGTGAATTAAGTTGAGTGTGACTGACATTCTGTACTAATATGCCAAGATGGGGAAACTTAGAGGGTTTCTGATACAGAAAGGGGGCTGAAAATTTATTTTTCTTATAGTAACAGAACAAAAAAGCAAACATGACTAGTTAG